ACATACTATTTTCTTTGATAGCCATATTCCTCATTTTATGCTTGTCTCACTTCTTTGGACAATATTGAGCAGTGTATTTAGATTCTCCATAATATAAGTATAATCCTTTCTAATAACAATAAGTCTTTTCTTGTTTAATAAGAGTTTTAAAACATATTGCGTTAATTTGTATATCTCCTACTTTCAAATATATATGTTGAAAAGATGTTGGTATTATTATTAAGTTATAGTAACGTTGAGGTGTACTTGTGCGACTTTCAGATTAAAATTCAAAAAATTTATTGTCACACCTCATAGCAAAATCAATTGCTTGACTGAATGTATGAAAATCAAGTAAGTTGAGTATGAATTTTTTTACCTCATATTATAATATATAAAAAAATTGGCTAACAAGTGTAGTATCATCATACTTGATATTAATTACAAGTTGTTGAAACTGTGAAGTATATAACATTATTAATTGATTATCTTGTTGCAAAATACAGATCTTATTGGTTTTAATATGAATTGTATCATGTTTTTTATATATGGATCAAATTTTTTTGAAAAAAACCTCTAGATTATTTAATATTAGATCTCATCATTCAAAAAAGGATAAAAATCATGATAATTGTAAACTTAAAATAAGTGTACCAATGAATCTAACTTGCGATCCTCAAGTTGGAAAGCTTTGAAATAGAAGTTAAATCACAAGTTATACTTGATTGATAAATCTTAGAAACTTAGATCTTATGTCATTAAATTTCTCAAGCAATGTAATCTTTGATTTTTTAATACTAGGAGGGTTTTCCATCATAGGAAAAGAGACATAATTTGGTACAGATCTTCAAGCAGCTCCAATTATCATTATATCTTTGCTCCCTACCATTTTTATTGCTCTATATGGCAGTAAATTGAGTTGATGCATCGTAAGCATTGACTCCTTCAATTACTCTTATATTTGTGCCATTACACTATTCATTTTAAGAAGCTTTGTCATGATAATACTTAAAAAAAGAAAGATATCTAATATCACTTAAGAAAAATACAAGAAAAGACTTAAAAATAAAAATAAAAATGCTAGAGACAATATCAATTTAGAAGAGGATAATCTGCAACTTCTAATATGCTTAAGTCTTATCAAGAAAAAAAGATAATTTACTTTTAATTAAAAAAATAAAAAGCTTTGATATAGTAAGTGTACTCTTATCAATCTGTTAAGGAGAAGAACTCGATGAAAGTAAATAAATAAGTGAGAATCTCTAAAAGAAATATGATAGAATAAAAATAGAGAAGTATGTATATTAAAAAAAATAAATTAGAATGGCTATTGCCAAAAGACAAAGAAACTAAAGACTCTTAAAACTAGACTAAAAGCAAGAAAGAACTTGACAAGAGTAAAGAAAGCTTCACTTTTGTCTCTATATATACTATCTACTTAAGATCTATGTGGCAACATTCTGTAGGACTTCTAAAAACATATTGACTTTGCATGACATGTATCTTAACTTATAAGGTAAGTTTTTCATATGGACATGACATGGTTAGCTTATTCCACAAGCTACCAATACATGTGGCACATGGATAGCTTGTTGACAAAGTTTCTAACTTATTAATCAACTATAAATATATGTAAAATCAAAATAACGTCTAAGAAGCTTTTAGGAAGCTTTTCTAGAAGGTATTATGGAATTAATTTTCTTTAATTTACTTCTACCTTTTCATATTATTTAGGTAATAATTATAGTAGACATATATCCATGACACAAACTTAAAAATACATTAAATGGATGTGAAGAGATCAATATTTGGCATTTTAGATAATTACAAGACAATATCTATATAGACAAGCTGTAAAGTTTTGTACAAAAAGACAAAAAATACTTTGTGTGTAAGTTGAAAAAATCCATGTATGGCCTTAAATAAATACTATGAGAATAATACTAATATATTAATACATTCTTTCTTAATAAAAGATTTGTAAAGAGTGAAGTTTATTATTTATTTTATTTAATACAATCTAAAAAAAAATTAATAACTATAATTCTTTATGTTGACAATTTGATCATCTTGGCTATTTATATAGAAAAAATTAGGTTATATGAAAGCCATATTAAAAAAATATATTTATAAAATAAATTATTTGAAAAAAAATTCTATTATGTTAGTATTATATTTGTTAAAAAAATATACTAATTATATCATTAGAATGAGCCAAAGCTAGTAAATTGATGAGACATTAAAATGTTTCAATATAAAAAAGTATAAATCAATTGCAATACTTCTTAAAATAAATCTAAAATTGATGAAGCTCACAAATGAGTTGTTTATACAAATTAAAAGTGAAATACAAATTATTTTAGACAAGACAATAGTAAGCTTATTTATGTATATTATGGTAGAAATAAGAGTAGATCTTACATTTTAGAATAAGTTTTGTAAGCTAATACATATCTAAGATTGGACCTTTTTATTGAATAATTATTAAAAAAATTATGAAATACTGAAAAGACACAAAAGACTTCCAATTATGATTTGGTAGAAAAAAATATTAATTTTTAAGGTTTTAATGGTGAAGATTGAATCAAAAATATAAATACTAGAGAATCCACCAAGATTTGAGTATTTTTATTTAAATAAGAACTATCTCATAAAATTTCAAGAAACAACCAATCATTACAAGATCAACCATAAAGGCTGAAAAATATTGCATAATAGAAGCAATTTGGATAAGACATTTAAAAAAAATTGATCTTATGCAATTAGAATCAATTCAAATTATGTATGATAATTACTTATGTCTTAAATTTGCTAAGAATCCAAACACGAATTAATCTTATTTATTTTCAACATCATTTCATTGAAAAGAAGATTAAAGATAATAGAAAAGGTATGATTTTTTTTTTTTTTTTTTTTTTTTTTTTAGAGACATAATGATTGATGTACTCAATAAAGGCATTAGTAAAAGATAAAAAAAATTAAGTTGATTAAGGCATTAAAATTAAAAGCCTTTTAATAAATAGTTAACTAATAGTATTTGGAATTAGCAAAAATTATTTAGTTACTACCACTTAGAGTTTAATTTGGATAAATTGCTAATAATCACAAGAAAATAAAGATTTAAGACAAGTTATTAAAGTAGCAATTAGAATTTTAAGTAGTGCTTAAACCAAAAAGAAAGTAGGATTTGGTTGGATAAATTAAAGCATGATAAAGATGATTATAGATGAAGTTTTTTTAAATCAAATATAATCTCTTTTCTATAAATAAAGGATGTTAGAAGTGAAAATCATTTTACTCCAGACTTCTTTTTCTTGATAAATTTCTTCATAATAATTATTAAAAATATTTATAAAAAAATATTTATGAAAATTTAAAAATAATTTTTAAAAAATATTTATAAAAATTTTAAAATGATTTTAAAAATGATTAAAAATATTTTAAATTTTAGAAAAATAATTTCTATCTTTGTATTTAAATATGTGATTTAATTAATTAATTATATTTTAAATTTTTTGTATATTTTATAATAATATCTAACTAAAATTATATTCAATTTTATTTTTCTATAGAAATAAGTATCAAAATTTAATCTTTATTTTATTAAAATATGAAAATTTTATTTTTTATTTTATAAAATTGTGATTTTTTTTCATAGTTTTTTCAATATGATCCAAAATTTTGTTACATATAAATGTATTGTATATTTAAACGTATAATTTCATATAGTAAATATTAGTCTTTTATTTGGATAGTATTACTAAAGATATTTTAAGTCTATTGTATCTAAAAAATAAGTCAGCATTATTTTACAAACACATTCTATACTTTAAAATATATATATATATATATATATATATATATATATATCTTTTTCTTTTTTCACTTATATAAGTTTTTTTCAAAAGACTTAATTATTTCAAAATCTTCTCTTAGTCTCATACATAAGCAATAGATCTTTATTTTATTTTACACCTTATTTAATCCTACATAGGTGGTATAGGTGTATAATGTCAAAATCAATAAATAAATAAAAATTACTCACAAATCTTTTGCTTAGCTAATAAAAAATTATATAGATTTACCAAAGAATATATCTTTTACAATGCTCTTCTAAGTTTTTCTTAATTCTAATATAAAAGTTAAATTTTAGATTTATTTATTACAATATGATTTAATCTTAGTTTACAACAAAAGTATTTTCATCCTTTTTATTAAAAATAAAACTAAAGATTACAACATGATCCAAAAAATTATAAACAATCAAAGAATGATAAGTTACATTAAAAATATAAATGTATAAAATTACCATAAAAATACAAAAAATGTTAAATAGGCCCATGTTTTTATTAAGTAGTCCCACTCTTTATGAAAAATATGCTAATCATGTTGAATTGGTTTTTTTTTTTTTTTTTTTTTTTTTTTGTACATGTAATATTCGAGAAATGAATCTAGAGGCCTTTCTTTCTTTCTTTCTTTCTTTCTTCCCTTCCTTCTTTATTTTTTATTTTTATTAATTAATTTATTTATTCGTGATGGTTAGGATGAGTGGGTCGATTTAGTAAAAACTTGGGTCTATTTAACAATTCCCTAAAAATATTAGAAGTTTGAGTCTCATCTACAAAATCTCATGAACCTTTTTTTTTGCAGGTTTACAATTATTGGTTTTGATAAAACGAAAAAACACAAAATCAAGCAAAGACGCAAGAAATTAATAAAAATCAAAACCAAAAATCAAAAGCATAAAACAGTGAAGAGAAAAAAGAAAAAAAGAAACAAAAAAGGAAATGGTGCATGCGTGCGGAGGGATCAGTTCGGGGGTCAGAAGTCAACGTGGTCCACGAAGAAGGCTCCTGGAAGCGCCGACAGCCAAGTCAGCGAGGTCTACACCTACACTCGCCAGTGCCATGTCCCGCGAGCATGAAACCCGAAGGGAGAAGCCACGGCATGCAGAACGCAAATGGCATGCACAATACAAGACAATGCAATGCAAAGACGAGGGAGAGGTGGAATGGAGGGGAGAAGGGGAGAGATGGGGAGAGAAGGGCAGGGCAGGGCAGAGCAGTGGAGAAGGAGGAGGGCATGGGAACATGGCGGAGGCGCGGTTGCAATGGGAAACTGCTCTTTGCCATCCCCCCTCAATCTCTCTCTTGCTCTCCCCTTCCATTCCCTTCCCCATGCCATGCACTTTCATGCTACTCTGGATGTGCCCACTGCATCTTCCATGTGTCCGGCACTTTCCAAGCAGCCCCACCCGATTGGTTTGGTCCAAGGAGTCATTGGGTAATGAATGCCCGCAGAACGCGATCGGTTTGCACTTCAAGTTGGGAGAATCACGTTGTTCGTCGGGGGTCTATCGAGAGACGAAAGAGGTTCCCGTAGCAGTGCGCCCCTCGCACATGGTGCATTGCATGGTGAAAGAGGGACTAGAGAAAGTGTCTCTAGAGTTTATGCAGCCTCCTGAGTGTCGCCCTTCCTCTGCGCGGGCAAGTAGTTCTCCTATCGACGTCCAGGTCCCACTTATCGACATGGCAGACTTCTGCTGGGAGGTGGGTTCGAAAACGGTCGTGCAGCAAATTGGGGGTGATGCTGAGGAATGGGCTTCTTTCAGGTATGCTTTTCGTGAAGAATTTCGGAGAGGCTCAAGATCCAAGTATTCGCAACATGACATTTTGTCGACTTGCTTGCAGTCTTCTCGTCACTGTGCAGGTCATTAACCATGGACTCTCAGGAGCCCTCATGCAAGACGCTATGCAAATGTGTCGGGAATTCTTCGCCTTGCCCATGATTGAGAAGGCAATGTGTAGCATGAAGACAAGCTCAGGAATTGGATATGGTCGTCGGTTTGCGGTGAAAGAGAGAGCCAAAGTAGATTGGGTGGATCGGCTCGGCTTCTGGAGTGCAACAGAGGTACATCGGAAGCGGTAGCCACTTGACATCAAGCGCCCCGCAACATGCAAGTGAGTCAAAAATTCTTCCGCATTTGCAAAGCCCACCGAAGACACGGCATAATTGAAAACCGCCTGGCCTGATTATTTCGTAATGCTTGGTGATGATTTCAGTGAAACCGACGTTCACCACAGTGATTTAGTAGCAGCTCGGACCCGCCTCGATACCGGCCTGCGAAGTTCGCCGACTACATCACCGAATTCATTAAGGTGCCTCTCGGAGAACGGAGGTTTGTGGATAATTTCAAGGTCAGGACATTAGTCGAGCCGAATATGAAAACAAACTCATGCCTGTGTCACTCTTGTTGGTAGTGAAATGTCGGTAGCCATATCTCGAAAGATTCGCCGTCACTTATCGAATGTTGTCACCGACGTGAACTTGCGACCCCAAGAGACAGGTTTTGATGAGATTGTATAGCAGAACAGGGTGAAGATGTCAGTCCATGCTGGGGTTGGCTCCTCAGATTTTAATATCTGAAAACCCACGTGCGAAAATGTTACATTTTGTTTGCACCCCATTCTACTTAAGGTGAGAATATGAAAATTTACTTCTACTGAGAATCTACTTGATACTGCTCCACTCTATTGAGTCATATTTTGCTGTTGAATGTGGCATCTGCTTTTTAGGCGTTCGTCTTACATTCTCTTACCAATGTCTTCCATTATATTTAGTGGACACCGTCCATGAAGTTGTGCAAAATTTGCCTGAAGTGTTGTTTTTCTCATTTTTTTTGTTATAATGCAAACTGAAATAAGAATGAACAAGAATATGTGAAACGAGTCTTTGCTGTCTATGATAACATTAAAAGATTAAAAAAACGTTGTATTAAATTTGGAGCCAGTACCCAAAAGATCGTGCTTATTGATAGATTCTCTTTGAGATTTAGTTTACAATCTAGAAGTAAAATTTATAAATAACAAAATACATACAATCTTTTAAAATTTTGATTTACATACTTGAAAAAAAGAATGACGTAATTAAAAATTTAATTAGCATGTAAGTTAACTTACCAACAAAATGATAAAATATCCTTTGAGTGCATTGCCTACACTTGTTTTTTAACACAACCATTTGTACTTCCATATGTATAGCAAGCATTCAATCTAATTTTTGGTCATCACTTCATAGTTGCATATTCTGTAATTTTTTATTTTTCAAAATAAAAAATAAAAGAATTTACAGCACTGAAATTGATTTTTTCAGCTCCCAGAGATATACAATTCTTGGTAGGTGATCTTAATTAATATATTATTTTAGAGTTTTGAAAACAATATACTGATAGATTGTCGCAGTGATCTTCCTCACATACTTTACTAAATGACAAATATTCACATTCCACACATCCACTCACTTGACTTCAAGACAAATATTTAAAAAGTACTTTCAGATAAATACAATTATGCAATAAAATTCACAAATTTTGATGAAAATGTACAGAATCACAATCCTGCAATCACTTATCAAGATAAAAATTCTTCCCGTTTGAAATAGATAAATAAGTAAATATGTATAAATATATACATACATATTTAAACTCTTACACATCCATAAAACATATTTTCTTACAAATACAGAATAGTCCACACACCGAATTCCAATATCTTTGGGGAAAAGATCAAATCCAGTATCCAATAAAACTATGTCAATACCCCCAACAATTATACCAAAACCAAACTGTAGAAAATAGCATGAAACAGAAGTTAGAGAAAAGACTATAATTCGGCATCATATTAATAGAAAACAAATCAATTCCACTCGATCAAAACCATGCAGTGAAGAGGGCAAAATATCCCAACGAGTGACTCCTCATAAGATGACCACGTCACATTTAATATCCTCCAAGTGTCACCATCGAGTGCGAGTCACGTGACAGCGAGCGCCTAGTCAGACTGGCCACGTATACGCGACAAGTGTCGCACCCACGAGCGACAGCCACTCCCGCGCCGCAAAAGGCAGAGGGAATCGAAGCCTGGCCTGGCGAGGAGTAGTGGCCACGAATGCTGCTGCTCTATAAGATCCATCGACGGTGCGATTCTTCCATTCAAGGCAGCGATTGATTGGCAACCATCTTTCACACACGCACTTTGTATTTCCCCTGATTTCCGAGTTTTGCTACAGACAGAATTTTGTAGGTATTCGCGATCCAGTAGTAGTTGTTGGAAGCGAGTTGTTGGTGAGGTTTGAGCCGCGGATATTCGTGCGATGGACGCTTTGAGGCACGCCGACGCGAAAGTGCAGCATGCGACGCACCCAGCGGGAACAGCGCGGTGGAGAATGAACAGGTGCGGATTCGGATCTCACGTTTTCTCCTGATTTTCGCTTGTTTTGACGCCGCCTACGTGGTTTCATTTCTTCACGTGATGTTCATGTGTGAGCAGTTGAGGACTTCTTTACATGTATGTGAGGGATGGAGAGAGTGAGTCAGGTTTGCGGTGGATTCGTTCTGATGTGCTGATGGGTTCCTTTCTCGCAATCGGTGCTGTTTCAGATACAACCCCATGGCGAGGCTACGCTGGAAGAAGAACCGCGTGACCCACCCTGTTGGATACCAGAAGGCGAAGACGAGGGCGAGATTGAACTACATCAACCCCCTCTTCTACATCCGACGCATCAAGCGTAACCTCACTGGCGTTGGGCACCGCCACAGGACCACCACCGTATATTAGAAGAAGCCTTGTACATATATTGCTTCAGTGTAGGCATCCGATTGTAAAGCCGAGTTGGAACGGGAGAGAGATTGGTACAGAGACGCTGTTTGATTTAATTTTGTTAACGGCACTTCATGATTTCCAGAAGCGCCTGCTCACACCAGGCGATTCTTTAGACTGTAACCCTAGGTATATAAATTTATTGAGAATTTATCTGCATATTTCTCTTGTATCTGGTGCCGTATTGCACAGCATTTTCAACTCTTTGAATTGTGCTCAACCTTGAATTTCTTCTTCTGTTTCTAGTGCGACATTCAGACAGGCAATGACTTTGTGAGACCGTGGTTTTCTGGGGGGAGGGGGGGATGGTTTTTTCCATCTGCTGTTACTTGGTTCTGCGATACGGAATGAGTGTTTTCTGTTGAGAAGCTCTACAATGTTGAATCAATGCACTAATTCTGACGAAATAATATGAGATGGCAATCTCATGTGGATCGCAATAACCTTCGAGACAATACTGAATAGATACGACTGAGGCTTGCCATTGCTGTTTGCAACAAGAAAAGTCTGCGATGTAAACATGCTTCAACAATCGAGCATCGAGAGAAATGGGGAAAATTATCGTCATTTAAAACGTACTGAGGAGTTAGTTACCTTTGCTTTTTGTATCATGCAGCTGTGATAATATGTTTATTTGCATATTTTGTTTTACCTAAAAAAAATGGTGTGAACTCAATGCACTGTTGGAGAACATATGACATTGTCAGTATCAAGGACACGAATCACAAACAAATAAACCCTCAGTACACTCTTGTCACTTTGAAAGATTACAATATTTATTGAAGATAATATTATATGAAAACTACAATGGCTATGTCCAAATACAAAAAGACTAAAGACTCTTGAAAGAAGACAAAGTATTAGAAAGACATTGACAAGAATGAAATAATGTTTATTCTTGCCTCCACATATATTATCTAAGTAGGAGTTACATGACAACATTCTATTGGACTTCAAACATGTATGTTACTCGTAAGACTTGTGTCAAATTTACAAGACATGTTTCACACGTGTGCCATATGGCAAACTTCTATTACAATGCCTTTTTTTTTATATATTTTTAAACAAGTGGTAAGACAAGATTTTTTTATTAGTGCCATAGTTATTTATTTTAGTAAGATTTGTTTCATTTGATTATTTAAGAAGCAAGTCCTAAGCATAAGCTATAAAATATTAACATTCCTTAGAGGAAAAAGAAGTAAATAATTAGCGAATATGTTGACAATTCTACAATTACAATTAAAGAAAAAAATATTAATATTTTTGTAAGAATTATTAAATAATTGAACTTATATTGGGCTTTAAAATAGACTAGTCAAAATCAGCAACTTATTGGTGATTAAAAACTCTTTTAGACCAAAATAGATAAATAACTTTGATTGGACATGGACTACACTAAATAATATTTTTAAGCTATTAAATATTTTAATTTATCTTTCTATTTTTATTCTAGATTGTAAGCAATTGTTTATTGATATAATAATAAATAAGCTTAAGTATTAATGTTCTACCAAATTCAATGTGGCAAAAATAGTTGCTATTATAAATAATATTTTACTATCTTTATTATATTCTTTTCTAGCTATATGGAATTCTCTTCATTTTAATTGCTTTTAAAAAACCAAATACCATTTTAAAGACCATTCACAACTTTAATCTTTTGAGGAACTTAAGCCGAATATATTGCATTACAATTGGTAATGAATATATTTGGTCAATTCAATATCCTTAATTTTTTTTTGATTATAGCAAGTTCTCTTTCAACAAAACAAGGTTGAACTTAAATTATAAGACTAGATTGGTCTACAATCATTGAAAAATGACAAGCAACCTATGGTGGTTATCAAACTTTCCATCCCATATTAAAAAATTAAAGAAGACACTTGGTTAATTTTTTTATAATTTATTAAAATTAAAATCTTCCAAATAGATAAACACTCTATAATTCTCTATTTTATATGAAAAATATAAAAAATATAAAAAATTCTAAAATTTCATAATTCTAAGATGTAGAAGATATCTAATATCTTATAGCAAGTTATGTAAAAGTAATTTAATTGGCTTCTAAAATAAGCCAAATAAGAAAAGTTTTGCTTAGTATTAACTTGTGTCATGGTCTAATAACAAAACTTATCTTTGATCCTAATTCCTATTCTAGGCCATTATGTGAGGATATGGTGACTTATTTTGCCAAACTTAAAAAATGACTTTTTGCAAAATAATATTTTCTCTACAAATATAATGGCATATAAATATAATATCTTATCGGACCATAACTTTAATATTAAGTAGAATTACATGAGATTTCAAATATTGTTCTTTATAAGACTCTTAAGCAAAAGAGAACAATGATTAACATATATAGAGAGAAAGTCAATTCAAACATAGAAACTAATTGTAATAATTAATAACTTCATCAGTGTGAATCTATCATATATTGATTTTAAAAATGTTGGCAAGATTATAAAATTTGGAATTATTCCATCTTACTTCTTTATAAACTGATGTTCAATGCTTAAAAGTTAAAATTATAAAAAGCCTTTTCACAAAAATAATTCTTCAATATAAAAAATATCTAAGATTTAGAAGTTTTTGTCAATTTGGTAATTACTATATCATTATTATAAAGACTTTGCTTATACACTATATGATTCTAAAGAAATAAATATATATTCTAAGAAGTATAAAAAAAAAAAGTTAAGATGGAATACTAATTCATTTATGTTTTGTACAATCCATATATCGTAGTTAGAACATTTTTCTAAAGAAACTGTACAAACATCATCAACATTAGACTCCTATCCTAAAATGATCGAAATAGATCATGGATGACAAAAACAAATCTAAGTCCAAATATCTAAAAGTAATTAATTGAATTATTAAAATACCATTGAATAATTTAAATAATTAAAACTGATACTTATAATATCTTAATAATATCAAAAATATAATCCAAAAATACAAACCTAAGTATGAATTGAAAATAGATATTACTTATATTATGTGAATCTTAAACAAAATGACCGTGATGAAGATAACTAAAAAACGATAACAACATAATATTAAATACTCCACACTTCTTAATTAGTTTAAAATTTTAATATTGTTAAAGAATTGTATATCATATTATAAAATGGTTTAACTAAAAAAAATATCTTTTAATAATTGGTTGTTTCACTATGAATTCTTTCTATACTAAATGCCATAAGTAGTTGCTTCATAACATCAAACTCAAACATATATCTTATTCATTTGACTTTTATAAAAATTAATGGATATTTCTAATATCTCCATAATTTTTGCTATTGCCACTAGAATCTTATTTCTACTATAAGACATTCATATTCTTCGTTAATGCTAATAAAAAAAGTAATTTTGTTTTGCTTAAATATAGATATATATAGATATTTACATACATACATATGTAAAATAAGAATAAGATTTTATTACTTTAATTTTTTAAATATATATATATATATATGTACATATACATATTAAAAATATGAACAATTTTTTATTGTAATAAAAGAAATTAAAAAGATATGTCAAATAGATATCAATTTGTGGTGATATAAGCAAAAAATGTAATAGGATTAGTAATATCCTATTCAATTTGTATTAAATACCATCTTTCAATGCTTTCCTATTCTAATGTTGCATGTAATTATGATGCTACATATTCACTAATTCCAAGTTCTTATCTATTCTTTCAATTATCATTCACTTAATCAATTTTAATTTAAATGTAGTTTATTTAATTTAAACAATTCTAAAATATCAAATCATAAGAAAATTCTAAAACTTAAAAATATTCTAACAAAACTTTAAACAACTCTTAATCCTAATAAATCTCAACAAATCTTAGCTCAAATTTCAAATCTTGATATTCCACCTTATCAATCAAAATACAATGTATAATTTGAGTATAGCAACTGCTCCTATCTTCTAAATACTATAATCTCTATAATGTTTAGTTGTTTATTCAAACCAAAGTTTAAACAACTTCATTGACACAAACATTTGTTGCAAAATAAAGCCAAGAAATTTAGACATTTAAATGAAACTAGATATTAGGTTGAAATAAAACTTAAAAAATAATAATATTTAAATTGCACTAAAATCTTCATATTAAAAAAATAAGACAATTCTTAAGTCACTTCCTTATTTTGATCATAAAATAGTCATTAATTATTTATTTACAAATTTTCTAAAGTTTAACTTATTCAATTAATAAGCAAAAGTATTATGAGTTTGTAATAGATGGATAGGTAATAAACATCTTTTTTTCTATTGACCTTGTAATATACTTGTAGATTTGTAAGGCACTATATGTTGAATCTACAAATTTTACAAAAATCCTAAATTTAAGATGTAACAAACTTAGAATACTTTCTACCACTTGTGTTACAACTTCCCATCATCAATATTAACATGTTTATAAATCCACAAATATATAATCATTAATAACATAGTACAAATTGTTACTTTCAAATTTATTTAAATATCTTGGTTCTATCAAGTTGTTCTTAAATATTACTATGTTAATAAGAAAATCTTTTTAAATATATTGATTAAATCTCTTTGATATATTTCTGTTATTTTGGTTAAGATTAAAAAGATTAAAATGTTGAAATTTAAAATGATGATAATAATAAATTGTATATTTATACAAATAACATAAGATCTATTCATATATGTACACTTCATTGTCCTAGTAAACATGAAAATGTAAATGTCAATGTCCTATATGCAAATAAGACAAAATAAATTTGAAATAATTTTTATTACTTAGTCGCACACCTTACAATCATAAATATTGACATTTATATAAATCCAAATTTGAATGACCATTAAAAAAATAACATAGTTGAAATCGATATTTCATATTGACAATGTCATATGTTCTCCAACAGTGCATTGAGTTCACACCATTTTTTTTAGGTAAAACAAAATATGCAAATAAACATATTATCACAGCTGCATGATACAAAAAGCAAAGGTAACTAACTCCTCAGTACGTTTTAAATGACGATAATTTTCCCCATTTCTCTCGATGCTCGATTGTTGAAGCATGTTTACATCGCAGACTTTTCTTGTTGCAAACAGCAATGGCAAGCCTCAGTCGTATCTATTCAGTATTGTCTCGAAGGTTATTGCGATCCACATGAGA